GAATATCATGTTCAGAGGCCTAAGGCTGGGCATGAACTGTATGATATTTTATTTCATTGTACTCAGCTACAGCTCAAACTGCATGACAAAACTGCAGGGTTTAAAAGTTCACAGCTCATAGCTCTCAACTCTGTTCTTACACTGTGTGGCCTGATGCTCTGATGCAATCTTACTGCTCATGCTGCTCTTCCAAAAAGTAGGACTCAGCCCCAAGACATGGTTAGACTCTTCAATCTAGAAGTAGAAGAAAAAGAAGTCCACCGTCGTTTACACATTTAAAGTGTACAAGATTCCGGTAAATCAGCTCGTAGTTCTTCTTCAACAGCAGCATTTGCCCACGAACACGTTACGAGGTGTTCAGGTACACGTTTGTTTTTTCCAGTCTTATGATTCCTCATCAGGAGGTGGTCAGGAGAGGTTTATCGCACTTGTTACCATCCATATTCCACATGTTGCAAGAGTTCACCTTAAACAGAACAATGTTGAATGATGTCAAGATCACTTCATGTTTCTCACTTCAAAAACTGCACTGTTCAGTTCAAACTTCTCAGAAATGTGAGTTCAACTCAGAAATACATCCATGGATTAAACTAAATGACACATCAGGGTTTTTGAGTTATTCTATCTTCCTCTTTATCAGCAGTTTTTTCTTCTTTCTAATCAAACAATTTGACCAGAGGTGAGAATTTCTCTGGAAGAATATCCAGATGGGCAAGGACACTAAAGCCTGACAATGTCTCCAGCTTCCGGTCCAGGTCCATCCAGCCTTATCTGGATCTACTACTGAGAGATGTGGCAGCAGCTCCAAGAGCTAAGAGCCTCGTACAGAGGAGGAGAATGGAAAAACTAAGTGATCTCTCATGGACTGAAGTCTTAGAGAGTTTCTGGGATTCTTCCTGCATTCCACACTGTTGCCCATGTTGGCTCAACATAACTAAATAATGTTGCTGGGAATGGGATTGGGTATTTCCTGCATAATCAGCTCTAAATTCACTGGATTCTGGGAAGTTCTGGATAACTCTGAAATCCCATATTGAAATTTGAATCATTGTTTCATATGTCCTGCTTATTATTAAATAAATCATGATAAGAAGTTTAAAAAAGAAATAAACTTAAACTGGCAGTGAAGACTTTAGCCTGAATATCCTCAGTGTGGATCAGTAGAATATCAGCCATATGTCTGCAGTTTAGAGTCAACAAAACTTTACCATCAGAAATATCAGCACTAAACTAAAACATGGTGACTGACCTCAATGTCTGTAGGGTGCAGAGGGGAGACTGTAGAAAACCACAGAGCTGCTTCACTCCACCATCTTTCAGGTCGTTCCTGCTCAGGTCCAGTTCTGTCAGATGGGAGGGGTTGGACTTCAGAGCTGAGCCCAGAGAAGCACAGCTGATTTCTGACAAACTGCAGTCAATCAATCTGAGTAAAGAATAAAAGACCTTTTGAAGCTACTGGAGAGACAGGTTAAAATTAAAATACTGCAAAAAAATCATAAAAATAATTTGACATAAAGCTAAAGTTCCATAAAATGATCAAGTTAAAGTAGTAAACCAAGCAGAACCAGAACATGTTCTAATGACGTGTGAAGGTCCAGATCAAGGTGTGTTTATTAATCTCCTCCAGGAGAAATCTGTGTTGGACAGAGTAGAGCTGCAACACAATCCAGAACCAGAACAACACAAGCAGCATCAACTGCAAGAAGAAATAGATGAGAAAATATTCAGAGGAAAAGTCTTCAAACACATCCCAGCATTTATCTTGGGTTATGTTCATCTTCTACCCAGGGGCACCTTATGGGGGGAAAACTAAGGAAAACTCTAAGGGCCTTTGACTGAGAGGGGCCCCAAAAGAGAAAGTAAAGATTTGTCTTGCTATATTTTTCAAGTATAAAAAGAAAATCCATCACTAAAATAAAAAAAAATTGTGTTCTCCCTCATTTTTCAGTAGTAAACAGTGAAACTGTTGGTTGCTGGAGACCAACTTTAGTGGATTAGAAATCCAATCCTAGATGTTAATCCCAGCGAAAATGAAATACCTACAAGCCATATAAATCAGATTGATTTGAAGAGAAAAAATCAATCTCAGTAATTTCATTTCTATTTCTGCATCACTGAAATAACTGTTCTGATGTTGAATCTAGGTTGTGCACTTCCACAGTGGATAGCACTGCTGCCTTGCAGCAAGAAGGTTACGGGTTAGATTCCTGGTCTGGGGCCTTTCTGCATGGAGTTTGCATGTTCTCCCTTTGCAGACATAGGCTCTCTACAAGTACTCCGGCTTTATCCCACAGTCCAAGAACAAAAAACATGACTGTAAGGTTAACTGGCTTCTCTAAATTGTCATTATGTGTGAGTCTGTGCATGAATGGTTTCGTTGTCCTGTTTTTCTCTGTGATACCCTTTAATAGACTGGAGACCTGTCCATGGTGTACCCTGCCCTCGCCTGAAGACAGTTGGAAAAAGTTGGCACCAGCCACACCAAGACCCCAGCAGGCATAAGCGTAATAGAAAATGGATAGATGTTGAATGTAGTTTTTATATCAGCGATGTTTCTGTTGAAGGTAAAATACACTCATGGACGGAATTTTATTTTTGTTTTACTTTTTTAATTCATTTGACAAGTTAAATGCCATAAGTCATTCAATAATCATTCTAACCATGAATTAATGATGATTTATCAATTGCTAACCCACCCCAGCTATTGTAGGGCCTTAAATATTTATGCTGAAGAAGTGTTTTAATCATTTATCCTTGCAACAAGATTTATTTAACGTATATCTGAGTATTGATTTATTGTTTCATAGAAGCATTTATTAGCCTTTCCACTGGCTTGATTGCAGCAATGCATTTTATTTAGTCTTTTACTTAGATGAATGGTAGTAAACAAACTTAGTTATTTCTACTATGTTTTTAACTTTACATATATTCATGAATTTTCCCCTTTGTTTGTTGTTGACCAAACAAGGAACAGGTTCCATTTATGGTCAAAGTGTGGATCCATCTATTCCTCTTTTCCTTCATTCTAAACCTGAATGAAGCAAACCTGCTAACAAGGCTAGGCTACGGCTGAACTTATATAATAAATATTAGCACTAAGCTAAAACATGGTGACTGACCTCAATGTCTGTAGTTTACAGAGGGGAGACTGGAGAAAACCACAGAGCTGCTTCACTCCACCATCTTTCAGGTTTCTGTTGTCACTCAGGTCCAGTTCTGTCAGATGGGAGGGGTTGGACTTCAGAGCTGAGACCAGAGAAGCACAGCTGATCTCTGACAAACTGCAGCGATTCAATCTAAAAAAAAAGGAATAAATACGAATTGAAGCAGCTGGAAAGGCATGTTGAAATTAAAATAATGAAAAAAATTATTAAAAATAATTTGACTAAAAATTAATTTTCCAGAAAAGTTATCAAGTTAAAGTACTAAACCAAAGAGAACAAGAACATGTCTTAATGACGTGTGAAGGTCCAGATCAAGGTGTGTTTATTTGTTTCCTCCAGGAGAAATCTGTGTTGGACAAAGAGCAGAGCTGCAACACAATCCAGAACTAGAACAACACCACAGTGTTAAGTTCATCAACCATGACGATGATGAAAATGTTTCGTCAACGCCTCTTTTTTGTCATGACAATGACGAGACGATAACGCACAAAAATTGTTTCCAGAAAATAAAAATTTGACAAAAATAAAAAAGGATTTTCGTCAATGAGACCAAGACAGACGAAATTTACGATCCATGGACGAATGGACATTAAGAAAGGTAATTGTTTATAATGAATTTGTAGTTGTTAATATGAGTGTTTCTTGAGCTTCACAGAAGATTACGCTTTGTTGCGCTGTTTGTCCCTGCACGGTGCACTGTCCTAGAGGGCCTCGCGCTGCTCAGTCAGTAGTAGCACAGGGCTTATACTCATAGCTCAACTTTACAGTCATTGCAGATAACGGTGTGGGGTTTGTTAAACAAAGCCTGGATGTATGGAGCCATTTCGTTTATAACACAAAGGAAAACACCGGAGGAAGGATGCCACCAAAGAGTGTGCAGCTTTAAAATGGCAGGGAAGAACATAGCGAATCTCAAGTGACATCCGAGGTTAAGACACGCTGCCATATGGAAGACGGTAAGGAACGGGTGGGCCTGTAGTAGTGGGAACGGGTGGATGTGTGAGAAGGGGCACATGCATGTGAATATATATATGTGTGTGCACGAGCGCACATGCATGTAGCTGTGTGAGTGCGCATGGGCGCGCATGCATGGGGCTGTATGTGTATAAGCCTCACTGTGCCTGTGTCTGTCTGTCTCTCTGTCAAAGAAGAAAGATGTTTTACTGATACACTGGATATTAATCGTTTAAATTTCTTCCTCTGCACTAGATACCCGACCCCGTGACACCACAGCCAAATCAGAGGTTGGGGAAGGAAGGGAAGTCTGTTGCAGAGATGTTGGGAGCACCCCCACCATAAAAACCTGGCTCCAAAGAGCAGAAAGCCCTGAAGAACTCAATGGAAAAGTGGATTGGGCTTCTGGCCTGCCTGCAAGGACCACTGAGGATGAAGACTTTGTGGATATGATGAAAAAAGCCAACAAAAGGTTCAATGTGTAGCTGTGTGAGGAAGTGTTATTCTGCATAGTGTGATATATAAGTTAAAAAAAAAGCTGTGTGTGGAGAAGTTTTATCATTTAAAAATAACAAAAATTACAAAAATTACTAAAATTTGACTAAGACTAAAATTGATTTTTGCCATTGTTACTAAGACTAAGACAACATTTTTTTTTTAAAAAGCTGATGAAATTAACACTGCAACACAAGCAGCATCAAGAAGAAATAGATAAGAAAAAGCTCAAAGGAAAAGTCTTCAAACACATCCCAGTATTTATCTTGGGTTCTCTTTATCTCCTGCCGACCGGTGGCTTCCTAGTTGGATTGAAGGAGGAAAAAATTAGTGTTTAATACTGTTGTGATCAAGTGTTGCTAATGTCATGGCAACTACTCCCATTTTAAGAAACACCCTTCTGGTGGAGGTATTAAAAGGGAAGACTTCCTGTTCCAACTTCCTATTCGCCAGCAGCAAGTAGTTGCTAAAGGCTAAACACTAATGCACTTCCCAGCTGAGGCCAGTCTGCCAGTAAGAGGGCTTGGGGAGGAGGAGGGTTTTGGTAACATGACGAGTGTTTCTAAGTCGCTTGTGGAGAAATGTCCTGCTTTATAAGTAGTGAGGAAACAGGAAGTGATTCTTGTGGGATTGAAAAAGAAAATGGTGAGAATGATGAAAATTGGAAGAGTAGAATCAAAAAATGAGAAAAAGGGTAAAAAGCTTCAAAATCATTACAAAGTAATATTTAAACTAGTTAATCAGGCAGACTCTTTTACAAATTGGAATCCAGTGCAGTTAACAAAATCAATAAATCTATAAGTCCCAAAATTCTGTATAGTGGAGAGCTGTAAGGTGGCCAAACGCAACTCTATCAAGCTGACCAGCATCGAAATAGGAGAAACTGAATCTCAGTTACCCCTCTTTGCAGATGTTATGGTTTTATTTGTAACTAACTTGGAAAAATCGATTCATGCAGTGAGGAAAATTTTGCAGAGTTTTGGTCATTTTTCTGGATATAGATTTAACCAGAGGAAAAGCTTTTGGTTAGTTTTGAATAAAAACAACCCTCTTGCACTTATGAAGGTTTTACTTATTTGGGAATCTGGGTTAACACTAACATAAATAAAATTGTTAATAATAATTATGGCCCTCTAGTACAAAAGGTTTTAGAGTCTTTAAAAAGTCTTTAGAAAAATGCTGGTTCTTCCAAAGTTTCTATATATATTTTAATCTATTCCCCTACATATTCCTGTCTCTGTGTTTTCCTAAAGTTTCAACAACAGGAAATTGAGTTCAATATTTAGAAAAACTAAACAAGAAAATAATCTACATTATAAAGAGTCTGAGAAATTGTATTCTGATTTTTAGACAGCAGCTGTTTTTAAAAAGAGAATATATTATCATAAATAAAAAAAAAAATCCGTATTGAATTATCAGTGAATGATGATGTTTGAATAAATAGGGAAAGCTCACGTCAGTTTCTTCAGTTTGCAGATTGAGCTTTCCAGTATCTCACACAGATGCTTCATTCCAGAGTCTCCAAATCTTTTCCCTCCACTGATCTCATCTGTTATCACTTCGGTGAGATAACAGTTGGACTTCAGAGCTGAGGCCACAACTTCACAGTCAGCCTCATTGAGAGAACAGCCACCAAGTCTGTGATTAGAGGAGAAATAAAGTCAGTTCTAATGAAATCAGACATTCTGGATGATAAACACAGACTAAAACATGATGAACAAACAGTGATGTCATCATCTGACTAAAATTTGCTCTCCTCAATGTCCTGTGTTTGACACCACAGCAAATCTCTTCAGTCTCTTCAGGTCCTGGTTCAGCTGCAGACATATGGTGTTTCTGCTTTGGTATGAAGCTCTATATAGCCACAGTTAAGGGGACAAACTGAGAAGCTAAGCAACAGTTAGTTAGTTCAATCTCTAACATTCTGCTCTCTCTGCTTTTTTTCATAGTAGCTTTGCCTCGTCTGTTCCTGTGTGGCTATGACACCTTCCTGAAGAGAAATATCAGCCATGATGCTGCCATTAACACCCTTGTTAATAGATTCTGGAGATTGGCCTGTTTTCCAGTGTAGTCCTGTTTCCCTGATTGTGACTGGCTGGATGTGTTCTCTTCATCCTCTGACATGGGAGCTGGCTCGGAGCTCGTCTGCCTGGCTGTGTTTCCTGGATGGGAAAGCCTTATACAGCTGCTTTTTGTTTCTCTGCTTCTGTCTCCTTGGACCCCAGTTGGCCTCCTTAGATGGCCGCTCACATGGAGCCAGGTTCTGCTGGAGGTTTCTTCCTGTTAAAAAGGAGTTTTTCCTCTCCACTCTCACTATGAGCATGCTTAGTGTGAGGGATTGCATTTGAGTCAATCAGTCAATGCCATCAACTGATTTTTCTTAGATAAAAAACTTTGAATCAATTTTACTGTATGATCTGGTGAACTGTAAAGTGCCTTGAGATTGCATGTGTTGTGAATTGGCACTCTATTAATAAACTGAATTGAATTGAACAGTTTCAAACAGCTCAGGCTTCATGTTCACAGAACAACACTGAAACTTTGACAGAAGCCATCTTGGTTGCCTGTTAGAAAACCTCCCTCTTTCTTCATGCTTAGCTCTCACTGCTGTCTGCGGCAGGAACAATCTGGGTCCAAAGCTCTTCATCAATGTCAATATAATTTCCATTGGCAGAGTAAGGAATTATCCATGGATCTAATATCCCAACAGTCACAGCGTGTCTGATGGTAATGATCACAAATCAACCAAGCAGCATCAAAGATTTTATGTTCATCCATTTTCTCTCAAACCTTCAGCTTCTTTAGGATCATGGCTCATCTCTGCCTCTAACAGCCAATGGGGGAGAGGCAGCATCCACTTTGGACAGGGGGACAATTTATCAGTGGAATAAATGATGGGATTAAAAAACATGTTGAAATTTGACTTAAAGTGACTAAATCTATTCAGCTATCTACTGGATAGAAATGGTTTCAGAAGAGATTCATCTGGATCCTGCCCTCCAACATCCAAATGACCTCCTGGGACCATAAAGTCATCAGACTCTCCTTCCCGAGGAAACATTGGACCTTCAGATGCAGTCACAGGCTGCAGATCTTCTATAAGTCTGTGAAGGAAAGTTCAGTTTTCTCTGCAGCATCCAATGAAGATGCAGCATCAGAGACTCAAAGGAACTAAAGCAACTAATTAAGAGGCTAACTGAGCTGGATGAAGGAAACTACTGGTGATTGTAGCGATAACAATGAGCTTCTCAGAGATCTGAATAAGGTCAGACACCAGTCACTCATTTCATGACTTAAGACTTGATGAAACCACTAAATGAAACATAAACATGATGGAGATGACAGTTGTTACTTAGTTCCCCATTTGTCTTTTCCCCTAATGTCTGCAGTTTTTTGGTTTCTTGAATTTTGGTTGTTGGATTTTCTTTCTGTTGCCATTTTCATTCAATTGGCAAAACTCATCTCTGCCTCCTCATCTCTGCTCCTAACTTCTACCAAACCTGACTGATGTCAAACCTTTCATGGGTTCTAACAAGCTTCTCCTGAAGGGCTGGAAGAGGGAAGTATGTGATGTGAGGAAGATGAAGAACATCTAAAAGGGGAGGATAAAAACATGTGAGGAGAAGAGATGAGTAGAGATGAGGAGAGAAAGATTGTATCAGAGATGGATGAAACAAAAAAAATCAGGAACATCCTGCAGCTGATGGAGAGATGAAAATGCTGGCTGTTGGTTGGACACAATTGTTGGGCAACCACTGGCAGAAATGTGTAGAATTTCTGATGATTTTTTGTATGTATTGATGTTTATTGGAACAGACCTGATGGATTAAACATATCATTCACTCCTGATTTCTGACATGAGGCAGAGCCTAGGCTGGAGATCCCTTGGTTCTAGATTGATGAGACAGAAAACTGTCGATCTGGAAGGAAACAGGGAAAAACTGCTTGAAAGAGTGAAAGTTACCCTATACTGTTCTGTGCATTGTCTCAGAGGAACAAGATTTGGCTGGAAGAAGAAAGTGTTGGTAAATACACAAAGAAAGAGTTGAAGGCCAAAATGCCTAGGAGGAGACAGAGCATTTGGGTCAAGCAGCATTTTTCATGTGAAAGCAGTGAAAAAGGGTTAAAGCTCATGTCCTACAGGTCTTTATGGAGGACATATAACAGCTACAACAAAGGCTGCAGATGAAGTGTTGATGAGGAAAATGGTTTCAAACTCTGGAAGCACAGTTCTTTGAACTTTGAGAGGATCTGACAGAAACTAGAACTCCTACAGAAATGGCATTTTCTGAAACTAGATAACACAGCTAATTTTGGCTCTAATTTAGTGAATAGAGGGAAATCTGTGGCAGGAAGAAAAGTTGGTTCTGAATCCCAAAAACTGATCTCCATAGCAACAGCAGCAATGCAAGGATTTACCTGGTCCAGGTTTAAATCTAAGCTGAATAATGATTTTATAAAAACAATCAAAGAGACTAAAAAGGTGAATCCTGGGCCAACAGCCCAGGCACTGAAGAGGATTTTAAAGGTTCTGATTGGTCTCTGGCTTATTGAATCTTTAGAGAAATGCTTCTTCGTTTAATGAAAGATGAAAACTGATCAAAAGTAGAAAATTTTTAAAAGGATCAAAATCTCTAAACAGAAAAAGGTCCAACAGAGCTGTCCTGAAGGAGATGAACGTTTAGATGATTGTACGTTTGAAATGGTCCAACGAATGAAGGAACAAGTTAAAGAGCAAAAATGTCCAGAAGCAACTAGAACCATGAAGAAGAACCAGGAGGACAATACAGCTGACTCTCCATCACCCCATGAAGACATCTGGACTCACCGAGCCTTTCTGCAGTTCCTCACAGCTGGAACCAGTCTACGTCGTCCTTCTTCTGATGTGTTGTACTTCTCCAGGTCCAACTCATCCATAACCTCCTCTGACATCTGTAACACGTAGGCCAGAGCTGAGCACTGGATCTCTGAGAGCTTCTCCTCTGATCTTTTCTCTGATTTCAGGAACTGCTGGATGTCCTGGTAAACAGACTGATCCTTAATCTCCATCAAACAGTGGAAGATGTTGATGCTTCTGTCAGTAGAGATATCATCAGTGTTCATCTCCTTTAGATTGTTGATGACTCTTTGGATGGTTGATGGACTTATCTCCATCTGACCCAGTAGAAAGCCTAAGAGTTTGTGGTTGGACTCAACAAATAGGCCATGAAGGAAACGAGCAAATAGGTCCAGGTGGCCGTTTGGACTCCTGAGGGATTTGTCAATGATTCTCTTCATGAAGTCCTCCAGAGATGTTTTTCTGAAGATTTGTCCAATGATTCTTTCCATAAATGTTTCTTTGTATTCTTCTCCAAGGAAGTTGTTCACTTCCTCTGTGATCCTGCTGGTCAAACAGTGGAGCATGTAGACTGAAGCCAGAAACTCCTGGATGCTCAGATGAACAAAGCAGTAGACTGGTTTTGGGAAGATCACACTCTCTCTTTTGAAGATCTCTGTACAAACTCCTGAGTACACCAATGCCTCTGTGACATCCAGACCACACTGTTCCAGGTCTTCTTGGTAAAATATGATGTTTCCTTTCTCCAGATGTTCTAACGCCAGCCTCCCTAGTTTCAGGAGAACTTCCCTGTCACCCTGCATCAGCTCCTTTTGACCTTCACGGTACTTCTCCTTCCTCTTGGTCTGAACAAGCAGGAAGTGTGAGTACATGTCAGTCATGGTACTGGGGAGCTCTCTTCTCTGCTCCATGGTCAACAGGTTCTCCAGAACCGTAGCAGTGATCCAGCAGAACACTGGTATCCCACACATGATGTGGAGGCTCCTGGAGGTCTTGATGTGGGAGATGATCCTGCTGGACATCTTTTCATCAAGGAACCTCCTCCTGAAGTACTCCTCCTTCTGAACGTTAGTGAAGCCTCGTACTTCTGTTACCCTGGAAACACAGGATGAAGGGATCCGACTAGCTGCCGCAGGTCGGGAAGTTATCCAGACAAGAGCCAAGGGAAGCAGGTTCCCCTTGATGAGATTCATCACAAGAACATTGACTGATGACCTCTGTGTGACATCAGAAACAAGCTGACTGTTATTGAAGTCCAGAGAAAGTCTGCTTTCATCCAGGCCATCAAAGATGAAGAGAAGTTTCCAGACAGCCAGCTTCTCTGCTGGGAGCTTCTGGAGGGTTGGATGGAAAAGATGGAGCAGTGTGAGAAGACTGTGCTGATGATCTCTGATCAGGTTCAGCTCCCTGAAGGAAAGCAGAATCACCACACTGATATCTTGGTTCTCCAAGCCCTCTGCCCAGTCCAGAGTGAACTTCTGCACTGAGAAGGTTTTTCCAACACCAGCAACGCCGTTGGTCAGAACCACTCTTATGGCTCCATGTTGGTCAGGTAAGGCTTTGAAGATGTCCTGACACCTGATTGGACAACCATGGAGGTTCTGGAACTTGACAGTTCTCTCAAGCTGCTTCACCTCATGTTGGGTATTAACCTCTTCACTCTGTCCCTCTGTGATGTAGAGGTCAGTGTAAATCCTGTTGAAAAGGGTTGTACTTCCTGTTTTATCACTTCCTTCAGTCACACATTCATATCTCCTCCTCAGACTTGTCTTATGTTCCTTTAGGACCTCCTGCAGACAACCATCTGGTGAAACACAGAAGAAAAGACAGCTGAACAAAAAAATGGATGTAGAGATGAAGATGGAACCAAACCATCTGAAACATCACACTATGTGGTTCTAAACCAGGGGTCGGCAACCGGACCACATGCAGCTTTTTAATGCACCCTTTTAAAAAATGTATGAAGTGGAAAACATAAAATTTCTATTTTGTTTTTTGTTTTAATATGGTATAAAGTAGGTCAAACAAACATTAATTATATTTTCCAATAATGGAAGAATCTGTGTAATAAGTAAATGTAAACAATAAAATTCCCATATCTGTCAAGGAAGATTTGGGTCACAGCCTTTCAGGGCTGCGCGGTGCCAGGCAGGTAGCTGTTGTAAACAAAGCGGGGGGGGTGTCTTGGGCCACAGATCCCAAAGGGAAAAAGGATTCAAAGAAGAATGGACTGAATCATTTGCTGTCATTACCAATGAGGAATGATTTCCTGCATGTTTGCTTTGTAATAAGAAGTTTTCAAATAATAAAAAGAGTAATTTGGAAAGGCATTTTCAGTGATGGCATGGTAAATTTGTAGCTTATAACTATTACAGGAGAGCAGGAGAGCAAAGATAGTTTGAAGAAGTTGATTGCATCTCCAAACTCCACTACTGCTGCTTGTTTCATTGCAAGCATGGAAAACCATTCACAAACTGAATAGGTAGCACTCTTATACAGGTATGTGAACTTTCTTCTATTTTTATTTCCCCAAATCCTCAAAATAAAAATAAGGTAACATTTCTTTATTGTGTTTCTACAATTTCACCATTCAATGCAACAAAACCTAAAACATTAATATTGTATTGGAATTTAAACTTAAAGCACCAAATGCCATAAAACAGAGTAGTCACGTGATGAGGCATTTTCTCCAGGACATACATTTAATCATGAATATTCATGAATCATGAATATTCAAGCACTTTTTTTGGTCCAATATGGCTCTTTGTGTCATGATCCTGGCACTAGTGACTGCCTCGATTGCTCATTCCACTCAACAGTTTAACAGTTTTTAATTACTGCTTCTCTGATCCACCTGTTTCCAGGTCCTATATATGCTGTGTGTTTTCCGGCTACTTTGATTCCCCTTCTGTACCTCATTGGCTCTCTGATCTTCTGGTCCATGAACTTAGTTCTGCTATGACTTCAGCTTTGGATAGTCCCTTCTGGACACTGTTGCTCCTTGGCGTCTGCTGACTTCAGCTCCGCTCATCACTCAGAGCTCCAGGAGCAGCGCCCTCAACAATCGGAGGACAACTCCCTCGCTGATTCATCTCCTTCCTCTGGGATTGTACTGAACTCTGAACTAGGTCAGTGACTACTGCTTTAGTAGTTATCAGCCCATTATTCTTAGTCACTGACCTGGGTTTCTGTTCCTACAGAGGATTTTGTTTTTCCGCTCCAGCTGACGAGCAGCCGCACGCTGAGTGTTCAACAAAGACTCTTTGAATTAATTCAGATCTGTCTGTTTAGAATATTGGATCCAAGGTTTCTAGCCCCTTGACACAGTTTGGGTTGCGGACACCTGCTTTAAACAATCAGATTAGTCCTGAGAACCAGAAACTTGTTAACTTGTCAGACAGCACATTTCTGCCTCAATTTTGTGGCGTGTGTTTGCTCAGTCAGGATCTGATTTTCAAATAAAAATATTAAGAAATGTTGACAGAAATATACAGCAGCTTTCAGCAACATCAACTCTTGAGTATTATCTCACCATTGTTCTCACTGGACAGGTCCCACCCCACTCACAGAACTGCTTTGCACACAGAGCGCTTTACTCATTAGCAGATTCAAGCGGCCTGTTGATTTGTTCACAGCTGAGGAAATTTTGGAAATCAGCTGTATCCTAAATGCACTGAATATAAAATTATCCATCTGGGAGAATTTGGAGGAAATTCTGAGAGCCAGAGATGTGAAATAGAGGAATTTATCAGTTTTTAAAGAGGATGAGGATGAACAGCAGCATCTCAGAACCCTGTTTATGAGGAATTCATTAACTGTTTATTTCTAGCATCATCAGCCTTATGTGGTGATTGTTGAAGAGTCATGCATAACATGGTTGTTTTATGTAATGTTTCTTTTCTTTCTTTGTTATCAGAGTTCAGCCTCCCCCCACCCCCTACTGCAGAAAGGCAGTGCTATTTCAACTGATTGTTAGATGATGAAAAAACAAAGTAGTTATTATCCACCCTAACCTGCATCTCTAGTTGGAGGAACAGGTTTGACACGTTCGGTGTGGTGGATATTCTAGAAGAACTTCATGGAGTGTTTAAACATTTATCTTTTCCACAAGTCCAAAAACTGTTAAAAGCAAAACCACTGGAATCCAAATATAACGTTGTTTCACTTCCCACCCAGAAAGCTTTCTCAATTCAAAATGTCTGGAGTAGTGTGGAGCTCCAGGTTTTATAGATTAGCCGAACAAACGACTTGTTAAGGCTTGCAAATTTAACCAATACAGGTCCAACCCTTTTTATGGGGGTTGTTAAGGTTGTCGTTTGCCTGCAGGTTAAACCGAAACTGGACCACGCATTTGCAATGGTTGGTCGTTAGGATCATCATTGGCCTGGCTTGCAGAAGCAATGTTTTGACCACCTGCATGGCGATGAGGATTAAGGTGATAGTTGGAAGGAATCAACTCTAGAGCTGCATTATAGTTTTTCAGCACCTGAGTCAAGTTGGCCCCCCACCTTATTCAAATCAGACAAAATTGCTGTCAACATTTGTGATGCTTTGTGCAGCAAAAAAAAAGTTTTTGTGCCACTATAACTTTACACATATAAAGAAATGTTTCTAGAGGTCATCAAAGGTCAACCAGCCCCCCCACCACCACCACCACCACCTTCTTCAAATCAGATGAAATGGGAGTCAATTAAATCTACTCCATTTGTGCTGGTTTGTGCAGAAAACATGTTTATTTATGCTCCTAGCATTCTGAAGATATAAAGAAAAATGTTCTTCAGGGGTCATCAGAGGGAAACCATTCCCGTGGTCCTGCTCTCATTTGCAAAAATAAATACATTGTCAATTAACTGTGCTGTTTGTGCAGCAAAATTGTTCGATTTTTCAGGTTAAAATTTAATTCATAGGTTGGCAACTTATCACTAAAATGATAGCAGTACAAATAAAGATTTTTGCTATACAAAAATAACAACTTCACTCAGGTGTTTTCAAGACCTGAAACCTGACTCCTCCCCCTCTTTTTAAGATTGGGTTTTCCCCGACAATTTCAGGTTTACAACTATGTTGCTTTTTGTTTCTTTGATAGTTTTGCAGATCTGTAGGTTAAAATGTAACTAGTAACTAGAAATTGGCTGCTAGAAATCTAGCAGCCAATTTCAAAGGGGTGTGTTGAAGCCCAAATGTTCCAGTTTTTCTATCAGATTCTGTGGGATGATGGTGTTGAATGCTGAACTTAATACAAGAACACCATCCACACGTGGGTGTTCTTCTACTGGAAGTGTGCTAGGCTAAGTTGAAGAGCAAAGGAGATGGCATCCTCAGTGAAGTGGTTTGGTTGGTAGGCATACTGGAAGGGGCTAATGTTCGGGGGAGACAGGGGATGATATGTTCTTTAACCACCCCTTTCGAAGCACTTCATCGTGATAGGAGTCAGTGCGACAGGCCGGTAGTCATTGATTGAGTCGACTTGAGGCTTCTTTGGGACAGGAATGATGGAGACAATTTGTGATGCTAACGTCCCTAATGCGTTTGTTGATGTAGGCTGACACAGTCATGGCACGCTCATTTATACTTTGTTGTCATAGCTTGCTGTAGCCTTAAACATGTTCCACTCAGAGCATTGAAAATAGTCTATGAGTTTCTCCTTGGCCTCCTAAGTCTGCACTCCTTGCCTATTTGTTTTGCCTTGATTAGGTGAGGCCTGTATGCAGGAATTAGCATCTCAGATAGATGATATGATGACCACAGACCCGAACTGCTCTGAATGCATCCTTGATGTTAGAGTAGTCTAAATTCTAAGTGTTTTGACCCTGAGTTGAAAAGTCCATGTTGGTCAAAATTACGGAGAACAGTCTTCAAGTTAGCCTGTTTAAAATCCCCAGCAAAAATGATGGACTAGAGCAGAAAACATGGAACTGATGAAATGCTACTATACAAGCAACCCCAGTGAGAGAGGTTACATGCAGGGACTATGGGAGTTATGGCAGCTCCAAAAACCATCATCAACACTGACAAAGCAACAACTACTAACTCAGATGTTCTAACATCTGCAAACGGCAGCTCCTATCACAGCTAGAAATTGATGAGGTACAACTGACATGCTGTGGCAAGGGGGAGTCAGGACAACAGGTCAATAGGGAGATACAGTGGGCACTGGTTGGAAATGGACGGTTTCCTGCGTGATTCCTGTGTGATTCCTGCGTGAATCACAATGTATTTCCTGACGCCAGTTTTTTTATTTCAAAAAGAACTGCAATGTACCCGGACAACCACCAGGTGGCACTTGGGACCTCTGCCGTGCTGAAGGTGACGTTTGTGGGCCTGCAGTCAACTGAAAAGCAGGTTTATTGGGGATCTTGGTGTGATATTGTGCTATTTTATTTTGTTTTTGATTAAAATGAAGTTAATGAATTAATTTAACATAGTGACTGCATAATCTTATTTTATGAAAATGGTTGCGTAGTTATAGATACACCTCCGATCTTATCTGAGATCTGTATATTTCTATTTATCTGCATCTCTATTATTTAATGAAAAATAAAATTAATTAAGTTGGAGCCGGGGATACGGACTGAGGCGCAACCAGAGAAAGGCGACAGAGACAGTGCTGCGGCTGGTGATTTTGAAATTAAAATCATATCCAAAGTTGATTCCTCATTAAGATAAGCCAAAGTTATTCAAAAGGGTATGTAAGAAAATATATTTCCTTTAGTTTTGTAAAATATAAGTGCCGTTAACAGCTTTGAGGATCAAAAGTCAAGCTAATCTTTAACTGTGTTCATTAAAATCCATCGAGAGTTTCTGTGCTTGGTCTGTAATAAAAAAAAGCAGCCACCTGTCGCTACCACACCGTTTTTTATTAGATTAGACCATAGGGATTATCATTCTACTGCCTCAACATCTTACTCTGATAATAACAGGCGTATTGTTATACTGTTTTTGTGTGTTACTTTCTTGCCCGTGTTGTACTGTTTTTGCGAGGGGTGTCACATGTTGCGAGCTTATAGTGTAGAGGGTAGGCAGAGTTGTCTGCGGTTCAACAGGTTGTGGGTTCAGTCCCAGCTGTGGCCGAGTTGCCTTAATTGTTTTTCTATTTTTTTTTAATCGCTTTTTTATTACATTAGACCATAGGGATTTTCATTCTACAGCCTCAACATCTTACTCTGATAATAACAGGCGTATCGTTATACTGTTTTTGTGTGTTGTTATTATTTATTATTATCGTTTTATTAGTTTAACTACTGTACATTTTCCAGGAGCTTGACCGTAGTGTCGCTGCATTATTTATCAAGTTCATCGTTCCAGTAGTGACCTTATTGTTTTTATCAAGTAGCGACGTAGCGTCCACAAATGCTACAACATCCAGGGCAAAACTAAGTAATGAAACCAGGTTTTCTATTTTTGAAACAACAGTTGGAGTTATTCGTTGGACATTGACGCATGAGCCTCCCATGTATAAAAAGAGAAGCTGAGCAGCTCCTTTAGTCAGAGACTTACAGTAGACACCCTGTCTGTAAGAAGGAGCGCTACAGCAGGTCATTCGTTCCTGCTGCCACCAGACTCTATAATAATGCACTATATCAACAATAACTCCTGTAAAAACCAGCCTGCCTCAGCCACGCTTTCATCATCTCCTCATCCATCCAGCCCCTTTCATTTTCCTTTAAATCATAGGTCATATATCATACATCCTTAAATGTTTTTCTTTTTTTTTTTAATCAC